TATGTGTATATATATATATATATACATATATATATAAATAATCTCAATTTTAAAGGAAAACAACTTCAACTTAGTGATTCTCCCCAAGTTAACCATCAGAACAGGAAAACTGAACTTCCTATAAATAAGGGATCTGTTCCTTTCTTTTGCAATCAGAAGAATATTTAAAAAAACTTTGACATTTTTTTGTAACAATAAAATGCTCTGAAAGAAAAGCATAAATAGACACATGTCTTTTGAGAAGGAAAACCGTAAAACAGCCTGCAAATACAGGAGGGAGAAATCCTTTTCTCTAAACGGACTCAAATAGCTGTACCTGAGCACACTTATAATTATAAGTATTATAAGCTTTCTAACAGCTAGGAAGCTAGGGGAAATCACGTTGAACATCTGTTCAGTTAGGACAGAGCTCCCCAGAGCTGTGTGCTCTCTCCATTACACTTTTATCTCTTAACACTAATGACTGCATCTCAAAGGATCACTCTGTTAAAAATACTGAAGTCTGCAGATGATACAACAATAATCGGTATCATTCCAGATGATGATGAATCTGCAGACACATGGGAGGTTGAACAACTGTAGTGCAGCCAGAACAATCTGGAGCTGAACGCTCTTAAAACTGCAGAGAGGATAGTAGATTTTAGAAAAATCTCTCCCATTCTATACCTCTTACAGCAGGAGTCTCCAATCTTGGCAACTTTTAAGACTTGTGAACTTCAACTCCCAGAATTGCCCAGCCAGCATGACTAGCTGAGGAATTCTGTGAGTTGAAGTCCACAAATCTTAAAGTTGCCAAGTTTGGAGACCCCTGTCTTACAGTATTAAACAACACAGAATCAAGAGTGGAGACCTTCAAGTTTCTGAGTTCTATAATCTGCCAGTACTTGAAATGGATACCTAACATTAGAACCTTCATTAAAAAGTCACATCAAAGAATGTTCTTCCTAAGCCAACTCAGAAAGCTCAGGTGAACCAAGGATCTGCTGATATAGTTCTACATTAAGTCTGCCATTATTAAGTCTGCCATTTGTACCTCTATAACTGTCTGGTTTGGTCCAGCAACCAAATAGGGTGGATACAACCAGCCTGCCTTATATTGATGATCTGTATACTGCATGAGGCCGAAAGAGGGCTGAGAAAATATTTATTGACCCCTAATATCCTGGACACAAACTGTTTCAGTTTGTGTCTTCTTCCCTCAAGACATCACTATAGGGCATTGCATACTAAAACAACTAGATAAAAAGATAGTTTTACCCCCATGCCATCATTCTGTTAAACACCCAACTCCCACAGCACTGTCTTATGCCTAAAGAATATCATGTAGTAAGGCTGTTCCCCTCATCTTTCTCATCTTTCTCATCTTCCCATCGTTCCTACAACTGGTATCTTCCATCTTTCCCATTACTAGTATCTTATTTCCTTCTCCTATTGGTATCTTATGATTTCAGACTTATTGTTTATATCTTGTGATTTATGATTATATCTTATGATTTATGATCTATGACTTATCCCTTGGTGGTTTGTTATGTACACTGAGAGCTTATGCATTGGAGACAAATTCATCTGTGTCCATTCACAGTTGGCCAATAAAGAATATTCCAATTCCAGTTCCATATGGCAGTTGACGGCAGTTGATCTGAGAGAAAGAGGGGAGGAAAAGAAAAACAATTCCATTGTCAGAATATTGTGACTGAGGACAAGGTTGTAGACAACATCAGGGTCCAGCTTTTTGAAAGAGACGAGAACAAAAATACAAAGAAGCAGGGTCCAAATTTTTGCCAAAACCCAGCAAAATCTGCAGGACAATGGCGGAACGTAAGTCCACAAGGAAAAAAAAAAAGAAATATTGTGTAAAAGAAAGAAAATGAATGAACAAGTACAGAAGTCAAAAAGTTATCCCATAGGACACATAAGCCAGGTCTACCCTCTGTTTGAAAGCTGTCCCGCACAAGTAACCATGATTAAACATTTTGTACCTGATACTTTTTAAAAATCAGGATGATTAGGAGTATTTGTTCCTACTGGGATTAACTAGAATTTATTGTTGATGGTTTATTTATTGTCTCTGTGATCTGTTTTATTTTTACTTAATGTACTCAAACCCAGTTTAACTGTATCTGCTCAACCATCTTTAGACTTGGAGGGTCAAACCTAGTTTGAAAGTAGACAATATGTAAATTCTAAAATGCATCAGAGATCAGTAGCACTGATGGCCAAATCATAAATTGGCCCACCCAAATGCTGAATTTGTTTTTCCTGTTGAAAAGTAACCAATGATCACAAATTGAAACCCCCCAATACACAACTTGGCATAGAATTTGTTTTTCCAAAACAAAGACCCGTGATCATTAGCAAGCAATAAACAACAAGGAGCATAGTATTCCCACCCCTAATAGAGGATCTACTATAAGGTGGGTTAATTGCCTTTCTGTTCCTAACTGATAAGGTTGGCAATTAAGTTCTAGATAATTTATCTGCAACAGAAAAGGATAAGTTAACCCTGAATCAACTGCTATAGTATTGGATTCCCTCTTGGAAAAGGATGGACTCAAAATTTAAAAATATTTAGGCAGGAACTATTCAAAGTACAAAGTGTGTGTGTATATGCATATGGATACATGTGCATCAGAGGTGGTATTCAGCAGGTTCTGACCAGTTCTGGACAATCAGTAGCAGAAATTTTGAGTAGTTCGGAGAACCAGCAAATACCTCCTCTGCCTGGAGATTTTACAGTATCTTTCCCTGCCATACCCACCAAGCCATGCCCACAGAACCGGTAGTAAAAAAATTGAATCCCACCACTGATGTGCATCTATTTGTGTGTATGCTTTCAGTATGCTTTATGCTTTCAGAATGTTTTTCAGATTATCTCTTGTACCAGTAATTGCTATATTTAATTAGGACTAAAATAATTACATCAAGAGTGTTCAGTCAGTACAATGAAATCATTTGAAACATGTAGTAGCCTGGACGCTTGCTTTTAAAGGCAAATAAAGCATCACTTCTTAGAGTTCAAGTCCTGTTTTAGCTATGAAAGCCAGCTGGGTGATTTTGGGACAATCACTCTCTCTCAGCCCCCTTCCACCTCATAGGGTTGTTGTTGTAGGGAAAAGAGGAGGAGAAAAATGTGCTGGATATGTTTCACCCCCCTTTGGTTATTTGTAAAAATAATGAAGTAGGATACAAATAAATAAACAAATCAACTATTATTTAAAAAAATATTCAAAGAAGATTTATAATGGTATAGCAAGAATAAAGTTTGGATCAAAAGCTCTTCCAGATTTGATAGTTTAATGGACATTAGGAAGAAAATGACTTCTTTGTTTTTTAAATTTTTTATTGAAAATTATTTTTAAAAACATTTGAAAGTGGTGATCTTTTGACATATAGCAACATTGTTATATGTCTTTACATTGTTATAATAGCAAAATATCATCAAACAATAATACACATATATATGCATCTATATACATCTTTACATTGTAAATCTTTATGTTCATTTTTATCTTAGACATTTTATTGCGGTATAAGCTCTTTAATTTCTATTTCACATTTTTAGACTTCCTAGGAAAAAAATGATTTCTTAAGCTGCTTTGTGTCTATAGGAGTCAGGGATCACATGATGTCCTCAAATCTTATTATTTACCACACAATTGATGTACTTAATCTGTGTACTACCTTTAGGTGTAGCTAAATTGGAGTATATTGGATTGCAAATTTCCAGATGACTAATAGGGGGCAGCAAAGCTTTTATGAGGTTGGCCTCAGCTCTTGATTGCTATCTAGGGCAAATTTATTCCAGGTTGTTACAACTCAGAATTGGTAGTCCCAAATTGTTAGTTTTTGAAACAAGTTTTGTATATCAGTTTAGCAACCTACTGATGTAAGTCAGAGACATTGGAATGATGAAGGTCATTTTAATTGATAGATCTATATTTCTAGGTTAAGTAGAGGTCTTTATGAACAAAGGATATAAAACACGTTTTCCAAACTTGGCAACTATGGATTTCAATTCCCAGAATGCTATTATTTTAAAGTCCCCACTGATCTACAATGACCACCCAATAAGGAGAGATTGATATTCCATTTTCAATAAGTTACGGAAATAATGAAATATAAAAATGATACCTAATCTGATTAAAGGTGTAATCTGTCTTAATTTTGGAGGTTGTGAATCCATCTGATTTCTAAAAGCTGGTTTATGGTTTACCATCCATAACAATAATAATTTTGTGCACTGGAAAAAGCAACAAACGATAAACAGTTTTGGCAAGGTAAGCACATCACGGTGCGCTATGGTTTATTTGTTCAGAACTAGATTCACAGATTACAAAAAATATAGCTTCTGTTTATGATCGCTCCCTCCTCTCCTCCTTCGAGATGCGTGGACTTCAATTCCCAGAATGCCTAGCTTGCAGGGCTGCTAATAATAACTCTGGGAGTTGTAGTCTTGCCAACGTAGAGCTAGGCAGATTGATGCTCAGTATTCTGTGCAAAGCAAGAATCAGTCGTTATGCAATCAACTGCGGTGGTTTAAGCAAGATATACGAAAGTAGCCATTAGGAGCTGATCCAGATGTAAAGAAGTCATGTTTTACACACGCACCGGCTTGAGTTCCTTACACACAAGAACTCCAATTGTGGCAGAACTCAGGCAAGCGCAAGGTGGTGTATTCCTCCGGGTTAATTCTCTCTCTCCCTTCGCATCCCTTCTTCCAGGAACCTTATCCCCCTCCTCCCCGAGAATCTCTCGTAACCTACCGAACGCTTGCAATCCTTCGTCCTGCTGTGGCCGCGCTTTACCATTGGCCGCCTCTCCTGCCTGTAAGAATTGCCGACCCTTTCTCAAACGGGAAGGCGGAGCCAAAGCGATTTGGCTTGGCGCTGTCAGCGGGCGGCTAGAAGGAAGAGCTCTCTGCCGCAAGCCAGAAGAATTGCAATTGCGCAGAGGGAGCGGGAGCTCTAGGGTGCCTTGCCTCGCATCTCTTGGGCGGCTTGCATGATTTTTTCCCCTCTCTTCCACGATACAGGCAAGAACCAAATTGTGTGCAAGGTCAAGATCCAGAGCGTCAGCGTCCGCGCCACGCACAACCCCGCAGCCCAGGGCACCGTCCAGCCGCAGTCGGAGACCTCGCCGCCGCCGCCGCCTTCTGCCCCTTCTCCACAGAAATCGGCACTCTCTCCCACGCGCGGAGTCTGCCAAACTATGTCGCACAAGAAGCTGTTCGAGGAACTCTCGGGCAGAGGCAAAGCCATCGGAGTCCTGACCAGCGGCGGCGATGCTCAGGGTAAAGAGTAACTAGACAGGAGGCTTGTGGGGGGCGTTGGGTTTCGGGGCAAAAGGCAGGGAAATCGCGGGTGCCATGCGGTCGGGGATGCTGTGGGGTTGCAGGCTAGGCAGACCTGATTTTTCTGACGGGATGGGGATGAGTTTGATAGGGAAATTCTAGCACCCATCATTCCTGGCTGATCAAGGAGTTGGGTTGGGTTCTGGTCCCAAATTAGGAATGCGAGAGAGGGGGCTACTCCCCCTTGCAGCACGCGGAAATTGGGGCTGAGGAAAGGGGCTGCCTTCAGACCGGAGCATCAGGATGGGGCAGAGGGCTGCAGAAACGACAGCGGGGAGGGGGAAAAATAAAGGCACGATGCACTGAGTCATGGCTAATCCAGCCTTGATTTGCTGTCTGGAGCTTAAAAAGATTTCTGGGCACAGGTCGAGCCGTACGTTTCACACCGACGCGGTCGTGGCACGCGGAATAAGTGATGCCGAGGTTGCTGCTCTTTCTTCCCGACTGCTGTTTGCAACAGGAGGCCAAAGTTTGCCAGAGGGAAGCTAAAACCCACAGCACACAAATGGCCCTCGGGGCGCAAACGTGCTGGGCGGCAGAGCGCTTCCTCGCCCTTGCCCCTCCAAGGGCCCCTTTGCTTTTGTCCTGAGTATAGAAAGAAGCTCGCTTGTGTCGGGAGGGTGGGAGGTAAAATAACAGGTAAGGTTTCTGCACAACCGATATCGGAGAGAAAATGGACTGGGCCTGATAGCCCTTTTTTTTTTCGTTTTATGATACCATTTTTGAAAAAGATGATGAGCGCCCGCAGGAATTCAGGATGCGGGTCGTAGTATAAAACCAATTGGACCGATCGTGCCCTCTAGGAGTAACGCTTCGTCACTGACGGGCATTTGGTTAGTGTTCACGTAGTAGACCATCTTATTAAAAAAAATTTGCAACCCTGAAATACTCCGAGTTATTGCCCGATTGGCATTTTGCATTATAAGTCTAGGGCGCCCTATCCTTTTCGCGATGTTGAATCGAAGTGGATGATCAAGGAAGCAAAAATGGATCGCGGAGAAAACCATGACCTCAAGTCCAACACGGGTCTCGCGGTAGGAGACACATTTCTGCCCTTCAGTTCAGTCAAGCAAATTTCCCCCGGGAATTGTGTTTTGACTATTTTCGGCTGGCCTGATTTTTTTTAAAACAGATTGCCAATTCCCACCGCGTCATCCCTTCATACGCTACGCGAGCATGCCGTGTTGGCCCATTCCCACGGGTGGAATTAGTGTCACTTAAATAAGGAGGCCTACTTAGACGCGCGCCTTTGGATATGCCGTTTAAAAGCTGGCTGCGGCTACATCCGCTTTATCCTTTTTGGTATTTGGTGGCTTTAATGATGGCGCATGGAAAGAAGCCCAGATATAGGACGGGAAAGCGAGGTGGTGGTGGTTCATGCCTCCGAGTGGGGTGCCCGGAGGATCATCGATCGCTCCCTTCGTCTAATAGTTTAAACCAACGAAGAGGAAGGAAATCGCCAGCGGCACTTACGCACGTGTGCGCTGCTTTCAGGAAGCGTCAGAGGCTGTTACGATTGGTGCGAGACAGCGTCAGTAGCAACAGCAACTTTCTCAGAATTGATCAAACTGCCGGGATCCAAGAAGATTCCGAAACAGCAATTCGCCGCCCCGGGCATCGTGCCCAGGTGCGAAGACTTAAGGGCGTCTTTGCGTGCCGCTGCGGGCGGGCACTTGTGGGAACAGAGGCCAGTGTGCTGCTGTGACGTCACGCTCTTGCTGCAGGCTGGGGCTGCTTTCGTACGCTACTTTTTAAAGCTTCGAGATATCAAAATCAGTGTTTTATTTTGTGGCTGTGTTTAAGTCGCATGCCCTTCCCTACCTTTGGTGGTTTTGCTCTTACCTCTTGCAGGAAGAAAATCATTTCTCTGAGGGAGTGCAGAGTGCACTCCAGGCATCATTCATAATGATAGAAGCAGAAGAGGTTTACCACGCCTAATTCTGCAGTTTTGATGTGGCAGCTATGAGAAAGGTTGACTGGATCTAACTTCTGAGCCACAGTTTAAGACGCAGGAGGTTGTGCCAGCAAATACTGAGCTTTGTCCTTGGTCTGTGCTTTCTCATTGTTGTGCAAAGAAAATCTCCGTAGAACTTTTTAATTTTCTTCAGGAAGTAGCTCTAATTATCCAGAGAGTGACCCTTGGCACAGTTTGATCTGGAATAAGCCAGGCCAAAATACTCCTGTCTGTGTCTGTGAGAAAAACGAAAACACTTTTTTTGGTGGGGGTGGGGCATAGCCTGATACATTGCTGCATTCAAACAACCCCACTTCCTTCTACTACATTCAAATTGCCTAAACAACCTTTTGCAAATGGCTACATTTACATTATCACCGTGAGTCAGAAGAAGAGGCAAAAAGAAAGTTTGCATTAGTTATGCTTGCAGGGCTGAAAGTTGGACTTCAGCCTGCTTCATTCCCTGGGTGGGCGGGGAGAGGAAAACTTCCCGATCCCTTTTAAAGGCTTTGAAGATTGCTTCTGTCTGGAAGGTATTCATCTGGGTAAAAGACACATGGGGAGAAGGCATCCTGGTTTATTATTCTGTATAGAAGCCAGCCCTGGGAAAATAATAACTTTTTTCTTTTTATGTAATAAGTTTTTTATTTTTCAGTTTTAAAAATACAAACATTCCATTTTTTTCCCCTCAAGCAGTGTGTCATCTGATCACAAACGCCTTTGTGCTACATTTTTCACCATTGACAACATTCACTTTCACATTGATATTGTTTCTCTAAATTTAGGATTAAAATACACCAAACAACTAAACATTTACAACTTTTCTGGTGGTAATACTTATTAACATTATATCTCATTATTCTTATAGGTATATTAACAGTTGTGTATCTCTCTCATATTTTCTATTCTCCTTTATTCTTCCTCATTTCCAACCTCCTTTTTTATTCTCTAACCATTGATAAAATGCTTTCCATATCCTATAAGTACTCAGTTTGCTCTTTCTCCTTAGTTGCTAGTGTTAATCTATTCATCCCTGCACATTCTAATATTTTCCTAATCACCTCCTCCTCTGTGGGGATCTCCTCCTCTTTCCAATGTTGTGCAAATACAATTATCTATTAATATTTCACAAGGAATGTGTATCTGCAGGGCTCGCTTTTTGAATCCCAGTTAAAAGGTCACAGAGACAAGGTGGTGCCCAAAGAAACTCTGAAGCCTGGGAATGTCTGAGTGAAGGTTTGAAAAAAGCTAAAAGGAACTTGTGTGAAGCTGCTTAGCTGAACCACCAGATTTTCTTTTCTGAACATTGACCAACCACACTATTTGGGAAGGGGGGGGATGCTTCAACTTTGTTTCACTTTTTTCCCCTTCCCCCAAGATTGTTCACTGTTGTTCCACAAATTGCAAATTTTGATTGGAAAGCAAAGCTTTAAATAAATTAAAATGAAATGAAATCCAAGGATTTTGGCTGCAGCAGCCAATAGTTTTTGGACTCATTGCAGCATACGATTGACATATATGTGTGCATTCATGAGGATGCACATGTGCATAATCCCTACTGAATTTGGGGATTGGACTCAACAAGCTTAGACTTGGTTTACACATGTTTTTTAAATGCAAAGCTGGGTTAGGGAAAGAAAATTGCAGTATTAATGTAACAAGCTGTGGGGAGAAAAATCAAGCCCAGTTCTAAGCTGGAAGAAAATAGCTAGAAATAAACTGGAGGCTGGCTACAAGGAAAGAAGGTCTCTATTTGGTTTCCAGAAACTTCAGTGACAGCAGCATGTTTATAGGGTGGCTGACAAAATGAGAGAGTGAGTGGATGGATTTTTATAGGATTCTGGGGTTTGGTGATTGAGATGCTCCAGGGGGGTTGTGCAATGTAGTGAGCCTTGTGTCTTTTATTATTTCAGTGGTGGTGGGTTAATCCTATTATGGCCTAAAGATTATGTTCTGTCCTTAGAATTTGGGTGGAGGAATTCTTAATCCCATTAGCTCCAGCCTGGAGGAGCTGTGGCTGAAGAAGTTTTGTTTGTGAATAGGCTGGCCTGGATTTCTGTAAACAGATACAAAATGGTATCTATATTCCAGATTTCTCAACAGATACAAAAGTATATCATCCATAAAACTTAACTGTTGGAGGGACTGCCTGGAGAGAAGTGAATGATTTGATCCTAGGAAAGCTTTTCTGGATGGGTGGGGGATAAAAGCTATGCTCAAATAATAGGAGTTCAAACAATATCAGATTTATTCATTGAGACCCAAAACAGATCCTTTTCAGCCTTGGTTAGTTTGTGATGCATGGTTGGCTTTCTGATAGATTGTAGTATTAACCATACCATTATTAATTTTTTTCTGATAAATTGGAAGGAGTTTAGAGAAAGTGGTGAAGGAGAAGGTAGCACATTTTAATGATGTTGAAGAATATCATACATAAGAAGCCAGGACCATGTATTTCTCCTGGCAGCACAAAAGACATGGAGTCATGGATGTAAATGGCAGACAGATGGAATGTTGGGGAAAGAAATATGCCACACCTTTTTAACAGAGCAGTGTGGCAGTTAAATCATTCACCCAGGAACTGTTAAGTCTCTTCATGTGATGTGTCAAGCGGTAACTAAATGGTCATCTATCTATGACTTGAAGCCCCAATGTCTCCCTCTAACTGTATGAATTTAGAATTCTACCATTGTAATACTTTCGTAGAGGTAATGGGGATCCACCTGGGCCTCCATAGCTAAAATCATCTGGAAGGAATGATTCTTCATCTCTAAGACAGATAGTTCTCAACTTCTTTTCTGCCTTCTGCACAGAGATGGATTTGAAGCTATGCAGATGCAGATAGATAACTCAACAAAACATCCATAACAAATTACATTTATTGGTTCATCAGGTATCCTCATAACTCATGTTTGGGCCGAAGTTCTTCTTTAATGACCAATCCTTTGTGTATCTGCCTTGTAGTAAAAGATGGTTATCTCTTAACCCATCTCGTAGCAATAGAAAGAAGCTGCCATGAGTTAGAGAGTTCAGGCAAAAATGAGGAAAACCTCCCCCAATCCTTCGAGGGTCAATTTAGTGACCAATTAGGATAACAGATGTGGCCACATGACATGAACTACATTTCCCAGGATACCTTTAACTACATTTACCATGATGCATTCTCTTAAGGGGACAGCTCATAATTCCTAAGTAACTATCCAATTCCCATAGACTGGCTGGGACAGCACAACTTCTGACTGTAATTGAGGCCAGAATTAGGGTTATAAGTTGTGCCAGTTGTGAAGTAGGTCATTTTGTGACTGTACCCAATTTTATGACTCTTTTTTTGTGGTCATTATGTGAATGCCATGGTTGCGAAGCAAATCTATTTAACTATTGGGCTTTTTTTTGCTGGAAATAAAAGCTGACAAAAAACATTTTAAAACTTGATCACATGACTGGGATGCTGCAATTGGCCACAGGTTTGGGCCAGTTGTTGAGTGCCCAAAATGTAATCATGTGACCACAGGGGAGTAGCCATCAAGACTTTGAAATTGCTCTGGGGAGGTCCATCATAACTTTGAATGCTAAGCAGTCATAAGTTGAGAACTACCTGTAGTGCAGTCAGATGCTTGATAGCAAAGACTGGTGTCAGAGCAGGGCATGTATGGGGTGAGATTTTAAGATAATACTTCAGTGGAGATCCTACTTGAGCCCTGTCACTGCCATCAAACACTTCTAGCCTACAGCTTCTTCTTAAGGGCCCCACACCAATCAGCCTAGCCAACCCTAAGGCTCTTCCTAAAGGCCAGAAGGGTGGGGACAGATCTCATGTCCCATCCCAGGGCAAGATGTTCCAAAGCATGGGTGGAGGCATGGCAGAAAATGCTCTTGTCCAAGACCCCATTAGCCTTGGCTGATGGGGACTGCAGTAGGCCTTTTCTGACAGAATATGTGGGGTCGGTTGATCCCAGTGGGGCAAGACAGTTCCTCGCATATCCTGAATCCCTGCCGTAAAATGATGACGAACATGTTGAATTGGACTGAAATCAGATTGATAGCCAGTGGAGCTCACGTAAAAGTGGTAATACAAGTACCATCTTAAAGGCCTCCAGAACTGTTCACACTGCTGCATTCTGGGCTAGTTGTAGCTTACAGATATTCTTAAAGAGTAGCCATGTATTATGCATTCAGTAATCCAAATGAGGTGACCAGGCTTGTATGAGTGTATGTAGGGCCTCGTTATTCAAGAAACACTCATCTTGCAGGATGACTCAGAAAATTGGACCTGCGAAAGGTAAAGATTTCCCTATCAATCATGTCCAACTCTGGGAGATGGTGCTAATCTCAGTTTCTTGGCTGAAGGAGCCAGCATTGTCTGAAGACAGTATCTGTGGTCATGTGGCCGGCATGGCTGTATGCCAAAGGCATACAGAATGTTGTTGCATTCCCATTGAAAATGTACCTATTCATCTATTTGCATTTACATGCTTTCAAGCCTCCGAGTGGGTGACTGGGCATGATGGGAAGCTTTAATAAAATTGGCCAGAGACGGGGCAATACCATGAAAATAAAGATGCCTCCAAGATAGATGCTCATGTTAATTGATGATTAGAACAGGCAATCAAGACCACAAAGCTAGAACAATAGTGGATATTAATTAAGTACAGTGACAATACTAAAAAAAGAACACTATTATTTTAACAAGGAATTCTTTTTTTCACCACTGAGTGGGAAGAGACTTTGCTGCTGTTGTTTTTTTAAAAAATGGATTCTAGGACAAATGTATTAGAACAAGAACATTGCTCACACGTTTTGAATTCCATGTGAGAGTTGCAAATTAAACACCTGGCACTAGTGCTTTTTGAGATTATCCTATCTACAAAGATGTTTGGTGCTGTTTTTGATGGAATAGAAAGCATCTAGGATTCAAGCTGCTAAGCTGTTTCCTTCACATCTAATCAATGCATATTTGGATTCATTTAATGGAGTAATAACATGCAGGTTTTCAGGAGATGCTTTGTTTTTGCTGTGCAGTCATTATCGATCAATAATGACAATTTTGGATAACGTGTGACTTTTCAGCCTTTTGAATATGAACCGCAAGCTGGGTAGTGAAAGAATTTTGCCTGAAAAAGGGGATATAACCCAAACAGCTGATATTAATAGGTTGGAATTGGTTGGGAGATAATAAGAACAACCGTCTTTGAATTCAGTACTTTTTATAATCAGGAAAAGTACTAGTTTTATCATTGGGAGAAGATGCTTATTCAAAATCCATCTGCTGTTCAGTTGCACCAGAATGGGGAACATGAATGTGGCATTGTTCTGGCAGCTTAAGTCAAATGCAAATTATAAATCAGTGATGGGAAAACTTCTTGAGAGAAACATCAAGTTTTTTTTTAAATTAGGCCTCTGATGACAGCAGAAGTTATAGCAATGTCACAGTGATACAGGGAGTTCTTGGCTTAGGATCATAATGGAGCTTGCCCATTTGATCATAAGTAGTGATGGTTGAATCATCATGGGACTGACCAATTTTATAGCATTTTGGCAGTGGTCATTAAGTGAATCACCATTATCATTAAGCGAATTTGTGGTCCATCAGTGAATCCACTGTGTGGCATTTTTGCAAAAATTAGAAGTAAATGTTGCTTTTTAGCAAAACTTCATAAATTGTGGTCATGTGACAATGGATGGGCAGCCATCAATGCCTACAAAACTTTGGGTAGAATAGAATGAATGAGCTGGAAGGAACCTTGGGTGTCTTCTAGTCCAGCCCCTGCTCAAGCAGGAGAACCTATCCCAGTTCAGATAAGTGCATAGACCAGGAGGTCCCCAAATCTGGCAACTTTAAGACTTGTGGACTTCCGCTCTCAGAATTCTCCAGCCAGATATGCTGGCTGGAGAATTCTGGGAGTTGCAGTCCACAAGTCTTAAAGTTGCCAAGTTTCGAGACCTGTGGTCATCCAGCAACATATGAGAAAACATCGGCAGCATTCTTTTTAGTGTGTCATGAATTCAGGAACTTTTAAGAGAATTTGCACAATCCACAGCTGAGAATTGTGTTTTATATATACTGCAAACAGATTAGAGGCCAATTAAGATAAATGATTGACACTTGACAATGAAAAACCCCTAATGCACGGGTTTTCAAACTTGGCAAGTTTAAGACTTGTGGACTTCAACTCCCAGAATTCCTGAGCTAATGACTTGAGGAAGAATTCTGGGAGTTGAAGTCCGCAAGTCTTAAAGCTTAAAGTTTGAAGACCCCTGCCCTAATGTATAAACCACCTACTGTACTTCTTGTATTTTCCTGAGAGTGTTTTCCCACCCATTTACAGACCTTTACATTCCCTACATTCTTTCTTTCCTGTGATTGACTTAGATTTTTATTTAACTAGGAAGAGGGACTGCTTAGAGCCTTAGACAAGCTAGCTCTTTCTATTTATGTCCCCAGGAGTTGCAAGGAAACAAACTCCCTGCTCTAAACCCAGTTAGATAATTATTTCCTACTTTTGTCTTAATTAAGTGCCCAACGCCTACCAGACACTTACCAAGATAGCTAATCCTCACTAATATGTAACCTTTCCTTGCTGATATTTAAACTAAGCAACACCATGAGGACGAGGGGAGAGATTGAAGGCCCATAAAGTTTCCTCAAAATGAGTTAATTCCACGGGATGTCTTCCTCCCTCTACTTTGGTTGACAATGGGTAATTTTGGAAAAAATTCTCAGAAGCTATAAACATTAGGATTTCTATCATAAATTCTAATTAATTGTGCTGCATCTTTCTCTGTATACACCCTCTTCTGTATCTGACCCAAAAAACTTTAAAAGCCAAGCAACAACTTCCCATAGAAATGGATAAAGTATAGGTCTGAACTGAGATATGATCTCTATGCCCATAGTAAACAGGCTTCATTACAGTAATAAGCTGAGGCTTTCCTATATAGCAGTACCAGTAAAGGTATTCTACCGGTTTGGCCCGGTTTGACTGAACCGGTAGCTCCAAGGGTGATCAGCCACTGGGCCCACTTGCCTGCCCCAGCTCCATACTGATCTTTATTTCCTGCTTTTGAAGCTCAGCTGCTTCATGCGGCAATCTGTTGAACACACAGGGAGAGTGCAGGATTGCAGAAGGTCAGTAGGAAACCCTCTTTGTTCCTTCCCCTCCAAGCCACGCCTACCAAAATGGTGATAAAACCATCTGAAACCCAGCACTGAGCAGTATGTACAGTTGAATAAATCAAGTCTAGTACAAGAAATATCTTTTGGTGCACGGTCACCCAATGAATTGATGGATGAATGGTGATTTGAAATAGGTTTTTCTCCCTATACTTTTGTCCATACCAAGCTATGGGGCTGGAGATGGTAAATTTTTCTGGCACTTTTGAAATGGACATCTCTGTTAGATTGCTAATGGGTTTTGAAGGGCGTATTTATTAGCTTTATTTAATTATTCTTTTAAAGTTGGTAATGTTTAATGTTTAATTAAATGAATTAAATATTGGTAATTGATGATTATAGTTTTAATGTATTGCAACATACATTTCCAGGTGATAATAGATGATAACTGTGCCTTTCTGTGTTCTTTTTTTCCAGGCATGAATGCCGCAGTCCGTGCAGTGGTACGCATGGGGATCTATGTTGAAGCGAAAGTGTATTTTATCTACGAGGTTAGTGTCTACTATTATTCTGCAGAAGCTCTGATAATCACCAGAACTTGGAGATAAAAATTGAGCAATCAAAATAAAGGATGCGGGGGAATAAACTATTATCTATCTGACTTACAACCCAACAGATGTTTAATATTAATGTATGAAAAAAGGAAAATTGAATGGAGCACAGAGAAGAGAAGAAAGCAATATATTTATTAAATTATTTGATGTTTGTTCATTCATTCATTCATCCAACTTCTGAAGCTGCCCATATCATAGGCAAGTGACTGGGTGATACAACAACAACAAAAATATAACTTTCCTCTAAAACATTAGGAACTTAAGTAAATCTTTTCTACTTTCCCAGTTCTTTGTTATCTCTATCCCAAAGTTACCCCAGCTGACAAGCAGCAAAATTTCCAAATTTTAAAGTATGAGTGTTTTCCAGTCCTGCCCAGAGGTACTAGTTTTTAACCTAGGCACAACTTCTCCCATCATATTGCTCCTCTTGCAGAGAGTCAGCATATTTCTCCCAACAATTTGAGTCCTCGTTTTATCAATCTTGGAAGGATGGAAGGCTGAGTCAATTTTGAGCTGGTCAGGATTGAACTTCTGTCAGCCTGCAGTACTGCATTTGCTGTGATGATGATTCTGGCCTGTGTTGGTGTCTTTAGCCCAAACTCACTGGCACATATAACAATTACACTGGAAGCAGATATTGGCAGCAACAACCAAATGGTCCCATTCCAAAGCCGTCATAAGATAGAGAGGAAGAAAACCGATTTACCTTTAGATAGGGCGTACCAACTCCAAGGAAGAACAGTTTCTAATACTCACAGGTAACCATTTCCTCTCTTTATTTATTCAAAGATTTCATCCCCATGCTTCACACAACAGCTCTGAAAGGCAGGCTGGCATAAAATCCAAACAAATCTGTGGTGATGCTACCGGTTCGGGTAGCAAAAATTGCAAAGTGTGCTTGGTTTTTAGACTAGCACCTTAACCGCTATGCCTGATTATGAAGTGCGCGATCACTGAACCAGTAGGGAAACTGGTTGAATCCTACCACTGAAACAAATCTTATTTAGCTGATCCATTAAAGTTAAGATAATCTTAACATAGCCACAATATTTTCCAGGCATCTGGAAGAAACTTGAAAAAAATGCATATGCTCTTGTATGGAATTCCAAAGATTTTTTATTCAGTAATCTCTCTCAGTTTATCTGAAGCATCTATTTATTAATTTTATTTATTTGGTTTTTATCCCACCTTCAGTATTTTTATAAATAAGGTGGCAAACATTTCCCTACATTAACTCTCTGTCAGAGAATGACAAGCCCAAAGTCATCCAACTGGCTTTCGTGCCTAAGGTGGGACTAGAACTCCCAGTTGCTTGGTTTTTAGGCACCTTAACCACTGCACCTTAACTGGGTCAATACAATTTATTCTCTATTCAATTCTATCAATTCAGTCAGGCCTTTGAATATCTTTGGATTCAGCTATGATTCATATATTTCTCGTATCTTCTGGCTTTGCAAAATCTCAACTTTCTTTCCACTTCATTTCCAAATAGGGAAAAGGAAAACTTGAATGAGGGTTGACTGATTCATTTTGTGACACATTGATATGAGTGAATGGTTGATATATTTCTTTATCTCTGTCAGCTCTGCATCACAAATACCTGAAAGAATGCTATACTTCTGTCTGTGCCTAACTCTTCTGCTAGAGTATTTTAAGGAGGTTTCTAATGACGAAAGAAATACGAAAGGAACTGTATTTATTCTGTTGCTTTTGTTTTATTTAGTTTGCTTTTTTTGTGATATTTTACCTTTTCCCCAAACAATAACCTTTTTATTTTTATTATTTCTTACAGTTTGGTCTATTTCTCTCATCTGTAATGTAGTCTCTGGTTTGCAGCTTTTTAGATTTTTACACTTCCTTCTTTCATTTCCTTTTATTGCCCCTAACCTCTTTACATAAAAATAGAGTCTTTGTTTTATTTTTAACTATTGTCTGTTCTGCTTTATGTTGGGACTTCTTCATTGCAGGTAGATTTGGAATTAAGCCTCCTGTTAGAATATTGGAAATACTGCAGAATATTTCTATGCATCATTACATATTCTATGCACAACAGTGATAACTACACTCAGTTCTCAAACCTCTTTATTTTAATCGTTACTGAGTAGTTTGGAGGTTTGGCATTCCCTGACTTTGCCAGTGAATCAGCTTTCTATTGAAAGGCAGTGAATCCTACACTTGATCTTAGCCAAAAGGCCGAGAAGCAATGAAAGGCAATGAATCCTTTGATCTTTAATAAGAGTTTTCTTGCTGAAGAACTTTTGAGAGCTCTTAAGTAGAAATTGGACATTTTAGCACAGCTTCTTCCGAAATATTTTTTCAAGATAATTTGAATGCTTCTATGCTGTTTTTTCCTCATCCTTCCTCTCTCTTAAAAAATGTATGGAAAACAATTATTTAAAATTATTGTACTGAAAAGCCTGAAAGTATGCAGTGGACACTTTCCAGAATTAATGTCCTCTTAATGATCCACCTCACTGCTGGGATTTTTTTTCCTTATTCTGCTCTCAAATGAAGAGCTGCGGGCATTTTTGAGGCTTTCCTTAAAAGCCTCGACTGTTGAATTTTTAATTGAATCTTAATATATGTGAAATCAAATCTCGTCTTCTTTGAATCAAGTTGGAGCTTTACTGATTCATATACCCTTAAGACGTAGCCTGCCAAATGGCCTGTATGCAGTGTGTTATCTTTAGGCATATTATTGGAAATAATTGGCTGAACTAAATGCCTGTATGTAGAACTTTCATTAAAACTCTGCAGGCTAAAGGACAACTCTTGTGCACCCAATGCAGCTGAAAATTAAATTAAGAGCCACTTCCCACCCTACCTGGAAAGTTCCTGAGCTAATAAAATATTATTTTTATCAGAATAGATGAACACTGGCCCTGCCCAAGCCATCCAGTCCTTTGCCCCTTCCTTCCTGTCTGCCTAATACTGTAACTCTTTTGTCTAAGAACAGTTCTGCAAATTCTTGCTGGGTTTTTTAATCCTTTGGTTATTTTTTCAGTACAGCATGACAGCTGAAAGTTCTTCAGTTCACACCCTTTTTGCTTAAGAGGAACATACACTTTCATTGGTTTATTTTCCATGTTCTCCTCATTTACTTCAAGATGAAGAAGTAATGGATCTAAGACTGTTTGTTGTCAGCCCTGATTTAAGAATTGAGGGAGCTAGTTCTCCCTTGGTCAACAGTGAATAGTTTGGGTGAGATTTACTGTTTCATTATTGAGATAGTATTCAATTTAAGAGAGGGGGGAATTCATTAAAGGGCCTGGATCAATACTAATGGAGTTACTAGTTTGGAAATGAAACTCTGCAAGAAAACTACCAAGCTTAGAGAGCACCAAGGACCTCACAACATTTAAATGTATTCTCTCTTGGTTGTATTGAAAAATCCTCTGGTCATGGCTTTAACAAAATTGAGGCCATAACTTTATCTGTCCAAAATGTTATTCTATGGTTGAAGTAATTTCATCCTCTTTGCATTCTTTTGCTTCAAAATGAACCAAAACACACCACAAACCTATTTGATTTGCATGTGCCTATACTCACAACTGCACCTCACAATTTAAAAAATTGATCCTGACTGGATGGTGGAGAATTTCACGTTGTACAGGTAGTCCTTGACTTACGACCGCAATTGAGCCCAAATTTTCTGTGGTTAAGTGAGACATTCCTCAAGCAAGTTTTTTGCTCCATTTTATGACCTTTCTTGCCACCATTGTTAGGTGCATTGTTAAGTTCAGTTGTTAAGTTAATAACATAGTTATAAAGTGAATCTGGCTTCTCTGTTGACTGCTTGTCGCAAAAGATGATAATCACATGGCCCCAGCAATGGTCATAATATGAACCAAGTGTCTGAATTTTGATCCCATGATCATGGGGATGCTGCAAAGGTTGTAACTATGAAAATTGGTCATAAGTCACTTTCTTTCCAGTGCTGTTGTAACTCTGAATGGTCACAAGTGGTTTTAAGTGGAGGGCTATATATACTGTGAAATTCTCAGTGTTGGCTGAGACTCATAGGAGATGTGATAAACTCTCTAAACCCATTTAGAAACTGTCACTTTGAAGGAAGTTGGTGTAATTCTCCATTAAAATCTTGACTTGGGTTTACTGTGCAATGCAGTGCAGTCTAATTCACATTAACCATCGCTTCTGTTTTGTGCCAGATAGGAGAAATAATAATGCTGAAATTCTTTTTTAAGTTTGGTATATGAGTGAGTTCCAAGTCCCTCTCATCTTTATTCAGCTAATGGCTTCTCCCACTCTTCTCCCACCCCTCACCCCTTTGCTAGAGTTTGACATGTTTTGCCAAGCAATTATACGTGCTCTGAGGTTATGGGAAAATGGAACCCCCTTGTCAGCCCGAACTTCTGATAGCTCTTTTGTGTCTGCTTTCAGTCAGTGCAAGCAAGGCATGCTAAGTTTGGTACTGAGCAAACAGAACCCAGCCTGGATGCATTTCTTCCAGCGAAAGATTGTGTTATCACTCTTGATTCCAGTGCAATCTGCTTTAAGATACCAAAGTGTGTCATAGAAAACAGAGCTTTATTCCTAACTGCCTTGCCCAGTTTGTAGCCCGAGACTGGAGTTCCTGGAATTGAGAGGTGGGATTTTTGACTGGGAAGCCTGGAAGATGTATAATACAGCTCAGTGTATTTTCTGCTGTAAATACATTTCTGGAAGTAATAGTAACAGAAATAGTGTTGGAAGGGACCTTGGATATCATTTCATCCAACCCCCTGTTCTTGTAGGAGACCTATACTATTTCTGATAGATGGGTGTCTATGCAAGGCTGAAAACTTATTCTCACTTTAATCACACCTGGACAACATCCTGTTTTCAGTGATGTGTACCTGATTTTCAGTGATCAGTACCTGATTTTCTGTGGCAACTTCCCAACCATATTGCTATGTCCCAAAGCTGATTTACCATGGTTATTTTAGGCAGCAGTACTTAGATTGCATTAAATATGATTAATGTGTTAGTAGATTGTTGACTTTGAACCTTTAAAAAAGTCTAGTTGCAGTTCAAACCTATCTGTCTTTCTTCTGGATAGATCCCACGTTTCCCTTGCCTCTTTTCCCCAGGGAAAGTAGGGGACGTTGATTTATTTATATTTTTAAAAAGCCATTTCATGATATGAAAACAAGTGATTTGGCAAGGAAAGCCCAAAAGAACAATTAACCCTATGCTGTAAAGCTATATGTATCAAGCAATCCTTGACTTAGAACCACAGTTAAGTCCAAAATTTATGTTGCTGAGCAAAACAATTATTAAGTGAGTTTTGTTCCTATTTTAATTCTTGCCATGGTTGGTAAGTGAGCCTGGCTTCCCCATTGATTTTGCTTGTCAGAAGATCGCAAAAGGTGATCACATGACCCCGGGAGACTGCAACCATCATAAAATATGCGCCAGTTGAAAGTGTCACAATTTTGGTGGGGTTATTGCAACAGTCTTAAAGTATGAAAAACAGTTGTAAGTCACTTTTTTCAGTGCTGTTGTAAGTTCAAACAATCACCTAATAACTGGTTGTAAGTTAACCTGTACTTTATTAAATGTGCCAGCTCTCCATTAGGCAGGGTTCACCCAGGGGATGTTAGGAACACCTGAGCTTCAAACTCCAATGCTATAGCTTTGGGGAAATAAGCTGAAAATTAAGGAATTGTGAGCAACACCTGAGTGCAGATGTTAAAATGCTCTTGCCCTCATTTCAAAATATAAGGTAGTGACCCCAAAAGCCAATGCCTCTTGAGGAACAGGCTCTAGTGATTTTGGTTTACCTAGACTATTCCTGGACTATCGTTAACTCAAAAAAAAACAACCAACCCCAAATAAGAGATATTGTGCCCTGTAATTATGATTTTTGCTGCCAAGGAGAAGTCATTGTATATACTGGAACATAATTGGACATATTGTTATAGTTTTATGGAAGCTTTTCAGCAAAGGACAGGTGATTCCCCATTCCACATCTAAATCTTGAGTACAATGGGGATAGGAAAGGAAAGGAAAGGGGAAAGAAAGGAAAGGAAAAGGGAATGGAATGGAATGGATTGGAATGGAACGGAACAGAACAGAACAGAATAAAATAGAATAGGAGTGAGAGTTGGAATGGATCTTGGAAGTCTTCTAGTTTAACTCTTTTCAAGTGAGAAACCCTATAGGCCTATACCATTTCTGTCTGATCTCTTCTTAAACACCCCCAGTGATGGAGCATCTACAACTTCTGAAGTCAAGCCACTGCACCGATTATTTGTTTTTGCTGTCAAGAAATTTCTCCTTAGTTCTAGACTTGGACTGATCATGTGGCTTCTTTCCACAGTATATCATAAATACAGATAATGTAACCATAAATACAGATAATGTAATGTAGCCTTGCCCTGAAATTAGGCAATCCTGGGCTTAGACAGGGTAAGGAATACATGCTTGGGTCTCTGATTTGCAAAAAAGGTGTAATAATAAAAGTCACATTTTTTCTTCCATTATCTAATACCTAATCTTCTATTCCATCTTTTTCTGTTGAGTTATGTGAATTCGTGCTGTTTAGTTAGTTACAGACATACCACTAAAATGGGAAACTCATTGCAACATTTCCTGTTTTACATGAGATTCTACCAGTATTGGTAGATAGTTTGCATTTATTTTAAAATGTTGGTGAAGTGCAAACATGCACGCACACACCAACACGTTTCAAATATTTTATGTAACAAAGCATGTGGTGGCGTGTCTGTACAGGGAGCCCTGGATATAATCTTAATGTTGGCATTTTGTCTCCTAGTAACGGGATAAAGCTCTTCTAATGAGCTGCAGTTGTACAGTTAAATTAGTAGTTTCAGGGACCAGGACTTCAATATTAGCACTGAAGATTTTATCAACTTTTGCACTGTTTAATACTATTGATTATGTTAGCTTTTTAATAGAATGAAACAAAAAATGTCAGGCTTAACCCTGCTGACAGCAATGGATGTGTCCATGTAGATTTTTTGGGTAATGATACAGAAATGAATCACGTCTTCCTTTTCCCAAGACATTTAACCTATAGCCATAGGGTTTCTTCTGACATCAAACTCAACTATGCAATAGAAGTTTGATCCTGTTTAATGTTTTTCAAGATGAGTCAAAGATGGCTTCAAAACTCTAAACATATCTGACCTTAATCTAAATAAACTGAAATCGCAGTGATTTGCAACAAAGGAAATTCATCAGTTCCCTGAAAATTATCCCCTCTAATATTAAAACCAGGAATAAAAAAAATAAAAAAAAATCTAAAATTCTTAAAAAGAAAAACACAAGAGAAAAAAAATTTTTTTCCAAAGAGTTGTTTTGAAAGGAAAAAATTAAAATTAAAAAGTAAAGTCCAGTCCAGTTTCAAAGTTGAAAAGTTTTAATAAAATCCAAAATTCCAATAAGAAGAAAGAAAAAACCTTCAGGTTTAATTTGTGCTTAATCTGGCCGCTTAAGCACTTTTATCTTCACTTTTAAATTTAATTTTTAGACTTTTAGGGTGTTCTCTCCAGAAAAAAAGTAAGCAGAAAATTATCTCATCAAACGGACACACTTTCTTTCCAGCTTTCTTCCATTCCAGAGCTGTCCCAGCTTCAGCAGCTTCAATGGGTGCCTCTCCACCGCGGGGAAAAAGGGGCTTCTCCTGGATCTACTAGGGAGTTTGCGATGTCCCTGGGATTGACAGGATGTGCCCTCCTCTGTCACCGTCTCTACAGGATGGTTTAGGTCCGTTGGGACCGTCCTGCAATGGAGATAAGAGCAGCGATCTTAGAGCTTAAAGATCGCATGCTGTACCGCTGCGATGCAAGCTCCTCCTTCCTACTTGCTTGTATTTCTAGTGTATAAGCTTAACATTTCATTATCTGAAAAAACACATCTCCTTATGTGTGTTATATATTCTCTCCCTCTTTCTCCTTTCTTCCCTCCCTCTCATATAAACTGTTACTTTTTCCTCCCTGCAGGGATACCAAGGTATGGTTGATGGGGGTGAAAATATTGTTGAAGTTACATGGGAGAGTGTTTCAAGTATCCTCCAAGTGGTAGGTACCGAATTAAGCAGAATGTTAATACAGATGTTTACCTGATAATATAGTAAATCATCCCCAAAAGACTGAAACTAGAGCTTAATGTACATATTTGAATGATCATTGATTCAAAGGTCTTTTCCAAAAGGCTGTTTTTTCCTTGAGGTAGATGTTTCGTGTCTCACCCAGGAAAGCTTCATCAAATGACTACTACTATTGCTACTATTACTTCTTCTTCTTCTTCTTCTTCTTCTTCTTCTTCTTCTTCTTCTTCTTCTTCTTCTTCTTCTTCTTCTTCTTCTTCTTCTTCTTCTTCTTCTTCTTCTTCTTCTTCTTCTTCTTCTCCTTCTCCTCCTCCTCCTCCTCCTCCTCCTCCTCCTCCTCCTCCTCCTCCTCCTCCTCG